AAGATCCTGATGCAGGATCTGTGGATCCTGAAATGCGAGTGGGACACAGTGTTGCCTGTGGAAATTCGATTACGTTGGCAGGAGTACTGTGACTCGCTGGTGGACTTGCCGAGGATCTCGATTAGCCGTTGGCTAGGACATTCTCCAGAGGTTTCGTGTCAGATTCACGGATTTGCTGACGCCTCTACGAGGGCGTATGCAGCAGTAGTGTACCTTAGGTTGGATAACGGAAAGGAACAGCCACGTGTTTGCCTGTTGGCAGCGAAGACGAAGGTGGCGCCTGTCAAGACCATTAGCATACCGAAGTTGGAGTTGTCTGGTGCTTCGCTTCTTGTCAAGCTCATCTGTCATTTGCGGACCGCGAAGTTTCTCGCGGACGTACCGGTCTACGCGTGGTCTGACAGCCAAATAGTTTTGGCGTGGTTGCGCAAGCATCCATCTTGTTGGAAGACGTTCACGGCGAATAGAGTCTCTTATATTCAGACGGAGTTACCGTCAGCATCTTGGTCGCATGTTTCCACGAAAGAGAACCCGGCTGACCTGGCGACCCGGGGCTCCCTGCCATCCGCCTTGGCGTTTAATGCGCTCTGGTGGCATGGACCGTCGTGGTTGACTCGGTCGTCGGATCGCTGGCCTCTGCCGTCGGAGATTGCGAGTGTTTTGCATGTTCATGCCCAGGTGAAGGAGCCTGAGATGTTAGGTAGATTTTCCTCGTTCACCAGGTTGGTGCGAGTGATAGCGTATTGTAGACGTCCGCTAGTTATAGCGCGACGTAAGAAGGGAGGTGCAGATCCTCTGCCTCCGTTCCTCTCCACGGAGGAACTCTCGGAGGCTCGCATAGTAGTATTTCGCTTGGCTCAATCCGTAGCCTTCGAATCAGAGATAGAAGCCTTACAACGTGGGGAGCGCCTGCGTAAGCGCAATCCACTCAACAAATTGAGTCCATTTCTCTGTAAGGATGGTCTGTTGCGGGTAGGGGGTCGGCTTTCGCATTCCGAGCTCCCGGCGCAACGCAAGAATCCTCCTATCTTGCCTCACAAGTCGGCGTTGAGCTTGTTGCTTGCCCAGCACGCTCACCGGACTTGCCTCCATGGTGGTCCTACGCTTACAGCCAGCCTGCTGATGCAGCAGGCTTGGATTCTTGGTAGGAGTCGATTGGTCAAATCGGTTGTGTACAAATGCGTCGTTTGTCAACGAGTCAAACCCAGAACGGCTCAACAGCTAATGGGTGATCTTCCTGCTTCCAGGGTGACGCCAGCTAGACCGTTTTCCGTGGCCGG